TCCCGGCTGTGGTCTGTCAGTACCTTTTTATTCTTACCTTTATTCTTACTGACTACTTAATAATTCTTAGACTGTTTGCATGCATGCTGTCAACGTAGTTTTCGTCGTTGGTAGGTTTGCTCAGTCAACAGAACATCTCAGCCAGAACCGCTAGGTCCTGGGTTCAAATCCCGGTTAGGACATTCGCCTTTCTTCCTTCTGAGGTTGGCAGTCACTACTATTCAGTGGGAAAGAAGCAGGAGGTTACTCGTTTGCTTGCCACATAGCAGCTGTCGACTGACCTTCAAATACGGCACTCCTGAATGATGGCATGCAAGCGAAGATCAGCGCCCGACCACTAACTACATGGAAAGAAGGGCGCCAGAAACAGCTCCGTCAGAAAAGCTTAAGTCAGAACATAACTCCAAAGGTTAGCAACTTTCCTTCCTTGCTTCCTTTGTCACCGTCATATAAAGTTCATTGTTCCCATGATCACTTCTCACGAGTGAAAGCTGGAGAGAACCGACCGTTCTCCTTTACGACGGTTGCCACACCGTAATAACCGTCCAGTTTTGCAGCCCTACCGTTAACCACCGTTTGCTTAACAACGCTTTCGCTGTAAGACACCGATTACTGGATGGTAGAAGAAAATATTACTTTCCAAAAGTAGACCTGCCTCGACTTTGTTTCTCCAGGTTGAAAGCTCGTCTCCCCACCGATGGCTGCCGTGTTTCTGCTCCCACACGGAAAGCTCACGGGTTGGAGCAGATTATGTATGCTCGCCCATTTAGTCTAGCCGGATCAGACTTCTTTTCTTAATCTTCGCATCTACCGATGTCACCTGTGCTTGGAAAAGAGCCGAATTATTTCTTGCGCGATTTTGCCTCTAACCATCATTATCCGTCAAAGCCAACGCTGCTGCATGCAGTTCAACCGTCGTTCTTGTTCCGTCGTTAGAATAACTGTCTCCGTGCCGTACAATAACACTAACCTGACAGAGGCAAGGTACAGGCTGAATTTCGTGGAAGGTGCTACCCGTCTGTTAGCCTAAGTATTTAGAAGATGACCGAAAGCACTTGAGGTAGGATGGGGGCATCGTCTCATCTAGTTATGGTCAGATTTTGCCATTGCTG